AAAACTCTATTTCTGATTGCCTTAGCAACAGCAGCAAGGATGTCGGAAATACATGCTCTGGACTTTGAAAGGACACGTTTTGATGAGCATCGAAACATCGTACATATGGGTCTAAGATGGGACTTTATAGCAAAGAATCAACTACCAGGTCAACCTGATAGACAATTCCACATCCCAGCATTATCATCAGTCCTTGGGCCTCAGGATACACAGGACCTATCCTTGTGCCCAGTAAGAGCATTAAAAGTCTACCTACAAAGGTCTACGACCAGGAGACGAAAATTCAAGCGTCTTTTCATCCCTATATCGGCAGAGACACAGACAGATATCTCTCGCACTACAATATCAATATGGATGAGAACTGTCATTCTAAGGGCCTACAAAGCAGCAGGACTTGATCCTCCACGAGCCTCCAATCCACATGAAATTAGAGCTCTGACGTCAACACTCGCTCTACATGGAAACTGCTCCATCACTACGATAATGGAGGGCTGCTTCTGGGAATCGGACATGGTGTTTGCCAACCACTACCTGATGCATGCATCAAGAGATGGAGTTGCTCAAATCCACAGATAATGTTAACAGAAGTAAGGACCAAAAGTTAACAAATTGTGGTCCCCCCATCAGAGAAAGCTGGAAGCAAGGGTACAGCAGCAGAGCCTAGCAGTAATGAAAAGTGCTACCAGGAAGTTCCCATAGGGGGGTATGCAAGACGTAAATCACCAAATTGGAATCCAGAAGTGGCTTGACCCACCACCAAATCCGTAGGATTCTACAAGCAATAATACATGACTCAGGATAAGGAATAATATGTAATTTTCTGAGTAAAATTGATATTTTATACTTATCCTGACTCATGAGGTAAGCCCTCCCAACCTCCCCGCTAGGCACTTTGGATTTCCCAGCAAATCTAAGTGTCGGGCTTGCAATTTGGAGAGAGTGAAGAGTGGGAAGACGGGTGGCAAAACGGAGAGGGAGGCAACTCGTGGTGAGTAGTGATTTTACGTCTGCTTTTTTTAAGGGAGCTTCAAACAGGAGATACAAGTGTTCCACTAACGTTCGCGGGAAGAGGGAAACAAGCAATAATACATGAGTCAGGATAAGTATAAAATATCAAAATTACATATTTAAGAAAACTTTTTATAATAATTTTCTGATTACGTAAAAATGAAAATATATAACAAAAAGTCACGGGCATGTTATGACATGTCACAAATGGAAAAAAATTGCCATAGTTTTTGCTTCTTTCGTGTCTTATCTGGACATTATAAATGTAAGCTTGCATTTTCATTACAAAAATAAATGTAATTTATGTTGTAGTTGTATTATTTGAATAACATTATGAAAATAAACTTCATATTTATCAACAGTGGGATTAGATCTTTTAAATGGTGTTTGAGATGTAGTAGCAATAATGTTTTACAAGCTTATAATTTCCTTCATAAACATATAGGCTTCATATATGACCTTAGAGTCTCTGGGAACTCGGTGTCATGGCAGTAAATGCCGCTGGTTGACTGGTGTTGAAAGTTAATATAATGCTGTGTTTCACAATCAGAATCAATTGCTGGTGATATCTTAAATGAACTTGTAACATTAGCTATTCGTGGTGTGGAAGTGAAACAACACGATGGGAACAAGGTTTTGGAAGAAAAAAAAGCAGTTGGTACGTGGAAAAGAAAATATCCATGGTTAATTTTGAATAAAAAAAGGTCTTGTGAGGTCATGTTGTAGTGTGTGTCAGGCACACCTCTTACACTTATTATGTGAAATGAATACCCGGATCTAAAAATATGGTGGGTATCATAAAGTAGAGATACCCACTTGAAATTGTAAATACCCAATAGTTTTAAAGTATGGGTATCATATACCCACATGGCCAAAGGCGTATCTGGAGCTCTGAAAAGGGTGAAAAGTGGTTTCAACAGCTATGCTGCACTGGGCTGCGCTCATATGCGCATGTGCAGTGAATAGGTTCGTGCAGCTTGGAAGTGGGATGTCTGGATTATAAGGTCGTGAGCAGGAGTAGTCTACTCAAAACAAATAGTATGTGTCAACCAGTGAGGCGTTTCGACATTTCAAGACGGAAAACCTTCGTTGGCAATGAGTACTTGGTGAAGGCTTTGATGTGAGCTATTTTTCTAATGTTTTGTTGATACTTCACAGGCGCGAGCTGTTTATATGTTATGACAGTAGATTACCGATTAGTGCTGGAGCGATTAATTGTAGGATCAGTTAATTGTTCGATCTAAGTGCAGATCGATAATTGGAAATAATTTGGATGCACATACATTAAAACGTTATATTCTACCTTGTCATGTCTTTTTTTTTTACCAAACAATCTGATCGTCATTGCTTGTTATCCCTCGCCGTGCATTTAGCGCGAAGCGGGGGATATAGTATTAGGCTCCGTCCGTATGTACGAATTGGAATATCTTAAGAACCGTTAGCTAGATCCTTTTCATATTTGGTACCTAGGTTCATCACAGTATAAGAAAGGTCCAAGTCAGGTTTGGTGACCTTGACCTTCATTTCAAGGTCACAAGGGGACTTTAATGTTTTACCTGCATGTTAAGCTATCTCAAGAACCGTTCACTGGATTTTCTTCATATTCAATACCAAGCGTTATCTAGGGAAGGCCCAGGGCCCAGTCAATTTTGGTGACCTTGACGTAATTGTCAGGGTCACGATGGCACTTTGAAGATTTCAGCATGTTAAACTGCATGTTAAGATTGTCAGCAAGATATTTCAAGAACGGTTCAGTTGATTTTCTTCATAGACTTTCAAGACTTCCCTTGAATGTTTTTCAATAAGCAATTTCTTTAGTACTATTGTTGCATATTTCATACCTATGACATTCATGTCAAGGTCAAAGTCAGTCTTGAAAATATGTGCGTGTTTGAACACCTAAAGAGCAAGATATCAAGAGAGGTTGACTGGTCATGTTTTTGTTGACATTTAACTTAAACTTTCATTACTTTATAAGTTTGATTTGATAATTTGCGGCGGGGGATTATGTCACCTTAATGACAATGCTTGTTTACTTCTAAAACGGAAGCTGTGTACTACACAAGTGCGCATGCCTTCCCAGTCAGCCAATGGCAATGCTAGATATATTTAGATTGGGGTGTCCTATTTCGTCATTGAAATACTACGGGTTGTAAAATGGTCATTAAAAATTAATTAATATCCATGAGCAAACTGTGCTAAACTCATTCGTCCAATCATGCAACAAAATGTCACATTACGATCCAGTTATTACAGGTTAGCTATTTTCTAATTGGCTGAAAGAGGGAATTCTTTGAGTTGCATTTGCATACAAACACGTGACTTTCGTAAGGCGGGAGAAAAAATAGAGCTATTATTGGTTTCATGAATTCTCTTGAACTTTCGATACAATGCTTAATTATAATACTTCACGGAATAAATTTTGTGTTTCAACATTAAGGAAACGTCTTTGTTCACCCTTCAACATCAACACAAGATGTCGCCTTAGTGACAACTGCTTGTTTTACCCCATTTCATGTGCGTACAACTTCCGCTTACCACATTCATGAGGGTTAGCTTTTCGCTCCAACTGCGATAGCACCAATTTCACATTATTCCCAACAATCACAAAGTGATTACTGCCTCATCATCCATGGACCGCTAGTTTACAGTAACATCGGTGAAAACTTCCGCTTTACCATGTTCATGAGGGCCTGTATAAGCTTAGTGTTGATTATACATATTTTACATTTATAGGGCAAAACCTGTAATTAAAATTATACAATGCTAGGATATATTTCTGTTGGTAAAATAGTAGTTTTAGATATTATATTTTACCAATCACTGCATCAGAATTCATCCCGTTATATTATTGGGTATGATTAAACTAGATTGTCGGGAAACGTGTGCACAACTGATTGCTATTTCCAGCTCTATCGAGACAAATATACACGGTAATCGTAATTCCTGCATATAATACAATGCCTAGCATAAACAAATTAGAACTGAAACGGTAAATAATCTTGTCTAGTGATGTTTAATTTCAAATTTGACATCTTCACTGACAAAGTCGTTTTCTCTTGGTCGTTCACGCGAAACGATATGATGTCGTTTTCTTACTGGTCACCAGAAAAAAAAGTTTGAGGAAAGTGTTATCCATAGATAAGCCGACTACCTTCTACAGGCTGCTTTTTTGCTCTTCAAAATTCGTTTTATCTACGGTAATATACAGTATCTATTACCGGTACTAATATTGCCTTCCGGATTTTTTTGTCATTTTGTAATATGATTTATGAATGATTTTTAGCCCCCCATTTCACATTTTTGTCTGTATGTTTCCTTTACTGATCATGAGATTATATAAATAAAAGTAATTCTTTGACATTGGATTTATGAATTAAAGTTTGCTCTACCCGTGTGTGTATAGGTTTGCGGAGTAAAGTTCAGTTGGTGCCTTTGATCTTTCAGTGATTCATAAACTTTCCCCTAGTGCTTTGAGCTTTAGGGAGCAAAAGAACCTATATATCTATGCATTAATTAAAGATCCCTAATATTCATCCTTTTTAGGGATTGAACAAGGTAGAGTGTTGGCCTACTTGTTTTCATCTGACAGTTCTAATTGCCGGTGAATCTGTTCCCTCCGCTAAGCCCAACGCTCATTCCACCAAGGAATGAATGCAATATGTGTGATAGAATAAGTTTACAAATTTATGAATTTCTAATCATGTTCATATTTCACGGACTTATTCTATCTCATGACTAACCAGCAAACCCCATCCTAAGATTCCCTGTCAATTTTTTGTCCTGAGAATAGAATGACTTGATTAAGGAAGGAAGTATCCCACTCACAGAGTGTTGCATGCTTGTGAAAGGGCCTGTTTTGACCGGTTCCATTCCACATGGAGGAGTTAGCAGAAATGCAACATGTGAGATAGAATCAGTCTTTAAAATATCTTTTCTTTTTAAGAAATTCGTAATTTTACCATGATGTGATATCACCTTTCTATCTTTAGGTGATGCTGTCTGTACAAATGGACACTGTACATAGTGCCTTTTCAAGTTCCTTGCCACCGGCTCTTTCACTTGCCAACAATACAAGCACACCATTGCAGCCTCCTTCCACAGATGATGAACTGTCTGAAGCCAGTATACATCCTACACATCACAGGGTATCTGTAGTTCCAGTTACTAAAAACTAAACATTATCAAGTAATATATTAGTGGAAATAAATTTGTGAAAATGGATAATTAATTTGGTGTTGCAAGCTTGGCTAAACTTTTGAAATTAAGTGAAGTTATTTTCATTCTCTAGTGTTTATGTTTCAGCTGCAAAGTTCCAGTGAAATGTTGAGTCAGTGCTTCAACCACCTATTTTCTCAACTGCTAAACCGCCGTGTGAATCTGGACACTGTCCTGCAGTTGTGGCTGACAATGAATGAAGACAGTGCACATGATGACACTCCACTTCATACCAGCTTTGATCCTTCTCGCATTCCATCAGTTCCATTGACTGGTTCGTCTTTAGCTCATCTACTAGAAGCTGTGGTCCTTACACCAAACTTGCCAGTGCGAAGTTGGGTATTTGTCTTTCAAACACTCTGCCTGTTCTCCAACCAGAGGACAGCTTCTCAAGTGGCTGGACCAGATATATCTATGGTGAATGCTGTGCTGAAGGAGAGCAACTTGATGCCTTTGTTGGTGAAATTTCTGTCTGGTGTATCCACTAGTGGTCCAACTGCAGCAAGCATCTACTATTCCCAGGTAAGCTGGCTAATCCAGATTGAGATGTTTCTGTCACAGATCTTGAAATGCAAAATAGATTGAGAGAAAAGTTTTGGGGGAATCAAAACTGTCAGTTTCTACTGTTGTAGATGATATTTTATGAAAAAAGACCTACTGCTTTTTTGTCCCCTGCTGCAACGCGAAAGGGGGCACTATGTATTCAGCAGCTTCCGTACGTACGTCCAGATTCTTGTTAACGCAAAATCTCATGAACTGTTGTACCCAGTGTCTTCAAATTTGGTGACAGCCTACATTAGGGAATTACGCAGATGCCAGTTGATTTGGATGACCTTGACCTTTTCTTCAAGGTAACCATGATACTTTGACCACTTTTCACTCTTATGTAAACGTGATATCTCATAGAACATTGCACTCAGTGTCTTCAATTATGTCGACAGCCTACATGAGGTGATTATGCAGACACCAGTCATTTCAGGCATCTTTTATGTGACCAAAAAATAAAAAGTAGTAAATATGTTATAAATACTTCATTCTTCTTTAGCGACGGGGGACATTGCCATATTAGTGGCAAACACTTGTTTTCACTTGTTTTGTTTTACTAGTGTCTTAATTGTGATTGTACAGGTTGGACCATCAGCAACAAAAGCTTTTGATGAATTTCTCAGAAGAATGCAGATCAAATCAGCTGAGAGCAGCACTCAGAATTTGAGAGAACTCATGCTGAAACTGGTGTTCACTTTAACAGCAGAAAGGTATCAATTTTAATTTGATTCCGAAATACTTTTGTGATGTGTACAAATATTTCTGTAACATTATTTTCTCAAGAGCACTTGTTAAACCCTTCCATACTTTTGACCTTTTATGAAAAAACATGACAAACCTGTAACATATGTTATATTTGGGATTACACTTTCTTAGTAAAGTACAGATTCTAGTACTTTTGGGGTTGAGTCCCATCCTGACTTATCAGAGGGAGTTATCCGACTTCCATTTTTGTGGAAGCCGTTGTGGCTGAGTGGTCTAGGCGTCTTGACTTTGTGTGCTGGCGATTAGGTGCCTGACTCTGAGGGTGTGGGTTCGAATCCCGGATGGGACTCAACCCCAAAAGTACTAGAATCTTTACTTTACTTAGAAAGTGTAATCCCAAATATAACATATGTTACTTTTGACCACTTTCTAAAATGGCATTGTATTTCATGATGAACCTATTTGTATATTTCCTGATGAACTTAATAATCAATATTGCTGTTGATATTCCAGGCTAGAAAGTTTACACAGTCTTAAGGCTTTGGTTTATATCAATTCTGAAATTAAAGAGAATATTTCAGTATTTTAAAAAGGCAGCTTATGAAAATTTAATGTGTATGCTAGATGTCACAACGAATATGACTGATTCCCACTTTTAATTAACACAAGATTGAATGAAGTATGCTATTGATGGTACAATTAATATATCTACTCAGACACATTTAAAATGTTTTTGCTCCGTCCCTCTTCATATTGTGTCGAACATCCGTGAATACATATTTTATAGGTAGCAAGAGTCTTAACCCTTAAACATGGAAGCAGCCATATTCCAGTGAAAAAAATCAATTGGAAATCTCTTATTCTCAAAATCTGCTCATTCTGTCAATATTATTTTTGCGTAACATATCCTACAAGTCCCAAACTATGAAAAGAAAAATTCCCACGAAGTGCTGCCTTGTTGAACCCACCAAGAATTTTGTGGGGAAAAGCCTTCTGCATTACCCAGAGTGTCAGAAGGACTGTGCTCCTGGTTGAGTATGTGGGCACTCTCCTGATCAGGGTGTGGTGGGGTAACTTCGAAATTCACAATACGACATATTGCGGGTACACTTTTCCCAAACCGGTTCACCTGATACGATCGGCAATTTTCGTGACTATGATCGGTAATTTTCGTGATGTAGTTAAAAATATCGTTATACATTAATAGTTTTGAGAATGTATATGGGTCAATCACATCTGTGTCCTGACAGTGGCATTGTTTCAAATGAAAGGAAGACAGTAATTTCATCACCTTAGTTAACCGATTCAACACCACGGGCCGGAAAACCGGCCAAGACGTCACAAGTCATCAGACACAGAAAGGCCTGTAAACCGGCCTGGCAGTAGGCGCATCAAAATGGTATATAATTTTAGGAACCTACCTAACATATGATTCACTTATTAAATCTATCACTTTTCACAATCTCTGAAAATATTTATTACATTTCAAATGAACATATATTATCGACAGAATTAAAATTATAAACTATTTTCGCAATGTTATTGAAAACAAAAAACGATTCGGCAACGAGTCCATATCAAAGTTGTCAAAGAGCAAAGTAACGATGTTTCGAGGAAATAATTAAACAAATTGAATAAACTAAATAATAAAATCAAGAACAGTGCTCATAAAAGTTGTCAAACGTACATCATAAGTTACTATTTTCCATCTTTTTGAGTGCGATCATGAAATGTAAGCCAAATAACTTCACGCTTGCACACGATGTTTAATGCTAAAATATATGCTTGAAGCATTTTTGTCACAGGTCAAAACCAAGCACGATGTGACAACTGAGTTCCATAAGGTGGTGATTTTGTGCGTTACCCGTTCAGAATAGGATGATTTTACCCAAAACTTCCGTCTAAATCTGAAGTTTTCGTTTACGAGAACGGTATCCATTGCTGTAATAATATTGGTTGCCTTAGCTCAGGTGCAAGATTTTGACCAATCACGAGCCTTATAGCAGACATACTTGGCTACTCGTGTCATTCCGGCAAGCCGGATGGCGACTCGGACCTCTGTCGTGGCGATGTTCACGACTAGTCTAGGAATAAGAAAAGCAAGATTTATGGATGTCAACTTCTTTATTGTGGACAACACGATGTTTCGGAGTGAGCTCCTTCATCAGGACCAAGCATACACTCCAAAACGTTGTGTTATCTTGCTTTTCTTATGCATTCCACTTCTAAATGCCCTTCAAAGATTTACTCTAGGAATATTTCCAAAGAAAGATAACTCTGAATTTCCAAACATGGCTACTCCTTGAAAGGCATGTTAAGTAAGTTTCTTATGTCTTTAACAAATGTCAGTAAAAAAGTTTTTTTCTAATCCCGGGAACTAATAATGAAAATCGATAATCGCAAAGAAACTATTTGACTTCATTCGTAACTACTCGCTTCTTTCCGTGACCTACACTATTGTCCGGAATAACACGAATTGGTCACAAATGTATTTAACTCATTTCACATTTCACTACATGCGATTTTATTGGAATGCCTAGATTTTTGGCAATAATGGCGTACTATACAGGTACGAGTCTTCTTGTAGGTCACGGAAAGAGGCGAGTAGTTACGAATGTTATAGCAGATTGTGGCAAAAAAGCGCCATTATAAACCAATGTTTAACCAATAAACTCGCTTCTTATAAGTGCGGAAAAAATCCTGTTACTCCGTGTTATTCATAAACCTTCGGAAACGGAGGTATTTCCCCGCTGTTGTCATGTTACCGAACGGAAAGCCAGTTATCGGGAAATAGCCGTCCATACATATTATTTCAGCTTTTTATAATAATTTTCGTAAAAATGAAAATATAGAAGAAAAAGGTAAGGGATATTATGACATATTACAAATGGAATAAAATCGTTGCATATTTTTGCTTCCTTCGTGGTTTATCTAGACATTATAATGTGTAAACTTAAATTTTTATTAAATCTTAACCTATTTAAATTGTTGTATTATTTGAATACTATCATAAAAAATAACTTTCATATTTATAAATATGATAGGATTAAACCTTTCAAATGGTGCATGACATGTAGTAGTAATGATATTTTACAAGCTGATATTTTCCTTGGTAAACATAGGCCTCATCTATGACCTCAGAGTCTGTGGGAACTCGGTGTCATGGCAGTAAAAGCCTTTGGTTGACTGGTGTTGAAGAGCTAAACCATGTGTCACACTTTCACAATATATTGCAATACGTATTGCAGTACGCCAGCACATATCGCAATATATCGCAATACGAATATTTTGGCGATACCCAACCCTAATTAGCATAGGAATAATAATGACAGGCTGGATGTCATCACACGATGTAAGGCCTACTCAATTCTTCAGGTAAAAACCATTGCATTCCTGCTGCAATAATTCCTACACATGTGCAGAAGTACCATTGTTATAGTTTGACACAAAAGATGGCAGTGCCTACAAGTAGAAAGTAATAAAAACAGCTTATGAGTTTAACATACTTTTTTGTTTGTTGAACAAACAAAAATGCATTGTAGCCAAATAACTAAGATTGTTAAAAATCAGTCAACAGTCTGTTTCAAGAATGTCATAAAACCACAAAAATGAAATAGAAAATATATTCAAAATGACAAAATGTGTAATTATTGTTCAGTGGACTTGATTTGCATTGATGGAAATCTGTGTTAATGCTTTGGGCTAATATGTATATCCTCCACTCAATCAACTATCTGCAGATTGTTGATGTCTATAATGATTCTAGCATACACCTACTGTTGTGAGGGTACCGGTAGTTAGATAGGAAAGAGTAACTTAAAGAAGTTATAAGGGGCTCTGCAGAGATCTCCCAGCATTCATCACCTTCAACAATCAATCCACATTTATTTCAATGCCTTAATCTTCTATGCTTCTTCTCAACAGAGGTGCTTTCTACAGTTGTATGGGTCCCCTGGATGCCCAGTGTAAGTTCCTGGAGTTTGTACTGGACATTCAGTATGGTCAAGTGGATATCAACAATGCGATAAGTGTTATTCAGTCCATTAGTTCACTTGTTCATCAGCACATAATCTGCCAAGAACGGGTTACTTGTCGTAGCTCATTTGAGAACAACGTGAGTGCGCGATCGTGCTTTGGTGGATTGTTCGCTGGACTTTTGAGAGGCGGAGACACACGAACAGGACTTGGTGATGCCAGTCGTGATAGGCTTATGTGTAGTTTACTGAAATTGGTCAATATACTTGTTCAAGTAAATATACCAAGCAGAAACTTGAGGAGCTCAGAAGTTCCTTCACAAGAAAGAAGTGATCCAACATTGACTCCCATGTTATTGACAAATAGACTTTCAGATGCTGACAAATTGAGTCATGTACTGGCTACTTCAACCCCTGTGGCAGCACCTGTGATGGCAATACTCTCAGATGATGAAAAGGGACATCAGACAGATGAACAAAAGACAGAATCAGCAGCTGCAGTTGCAGCAGGAATGGAGATGAATAATTCTGACTGGCGCCAGCCCACGGACACGAACAACTGTGTTGCAGAAATTATTCTAACACATCAATACATAATGCAAAATTTTCTGCAGACATTGAGTTTCTGTAATAGTAATGCCATGGCCACCCTTCTTGGTAATGCTGGAGTACAGAGTGTCCAGGAGAATTTGACAGGTGGAGATGTTGTCTCTGTTGGGGATTGTGTATATCAGATCCTTGTGACACTGGCAAGTTGCAATTCGGACACAAAGCCAATGCTGGATTCACTTTTCCACTACCTCTCTGGAAGCACTCTCTGCAGGCTCTCTGAGCCACTGCTATGGTTTGCCTTACGTGTCCTCAACAGTTCTCACAATATCAAGCAGTTCCTAGATATAGGTAAGTGAATTATCTTGTGCTGTAAATGTTTCACTTGATTATTCAGTCACAGTTATCTAACAGTGATGCCACTTTCCACCATCACATGAGGTGCTTTGGTTTTGGGATCACAAATTTTGTTTTGGAACATTTACGAGTCACACTTGTTTTAAGATGTAAATTTTTATAGTATATGATGTGAACTTTATAATAACGATATGTCTGTTTAGTCTGGGGTCCATGTTATTTCCACAGACAATAGGTTATGATTCCTTTACCAAATGCATTACATGTTAACACCAGAAAAAGTATGTTAACAAGTCCCAAGTGACATAATTGCACCAGTTCTATTATTGCTGGAACTTGTATCATGAATCTGTCTTTATTATGTCATTTTTGACGTAATTGTTTGAACTGATCAGCATGTGTAACCAACTCACTATTCTTACCAAAATCCAAGATCAGATTACCACTGTTGATGTCTTGAATCAACCATTGTCATCTCAGAATGAATAAGTGTATCATACATTGGTGTTGTTATTTGAGTGTTGAAATTATTATTTTGTTTTCATGACAAAATAGTGTGCAAGGCCTCAGGATGTTTTCCTTATCATTTGCTGACAGTGGCTTGGCAGATTATGAGAAACAAAGTGTTTCATTCAGGATTCATTTTAAGTTTGGTTGCAAGACGGTATGGAAGACATGATGATTATGTTTGTTGGTGTACATTGTACAGAAAATGTTTCCCCCAAGAAGGACTTTCATAGATCGTATTCACATTGATACCACTTGTATTGATTAAGTTTTAACTCACCTGAATCAAATATTTTCAGTGTATCTCATCTGTGTTAATTTTATCTGTACCTCAGGTGGCATGGAGGTGGTGTGCAGCAATCTGGTCAGTTGTAATCGCCGCCTTATCTGCACCAATTCTAGCTTAATCTCTACCATCATGCAGAACATGAACAACGGAAGAGCAGGAGCAAATGGTGACAAGATCAACTCCACAGATTCAGAAAATACAGATGGATTGCAGAACTTTGCTCCTATGGGTAAAATCATATTGGCACTAAATCTACTTCAAGATATAACCATGGCAGAAATGACTTTATGACTTTAAAAATGTGTTTGTTCTCATGGTATTTCATGTGCTTCATCAAAATGTTTGATCTTACCATTCATCACATTTTTCTGGCAGACATACTGATCATTCACAAAGTCCTGCCCTACAACATGCCTGTTAGCACAGAACTCTCGAAACATTTATGCTGTTAAAGAAGTTAAACTTGATAGTGGTTTTTTTTGCACTGAACTGTATTTAGTGGGGGTTGATTCATGTGCTGGTAACAACCATTGCTATCAATGTCTTAGCAACAGTGGATGCTAGCCTGTGTCACTGTTAGACAAGATCCAACTATGTGGATGTTGGTGTTGGCAAATGGATATATTTAAGCTTAGAGTATTTGGATAATAGACTGAAGGAAGCAGTGATCTGTTATTTTATTCACGTATGTATTTGAATTCATATATGCTAACTGCTAAGCTAAAGTAATGGGACGAGAGAAATCACTTTAGTGCTGGTTAAAATAGGCCTGCTTGTTCTGTATATGGTAATATGTGTTAATTAAGTATGAAGTAGTAAGAGCAGTGAACATTTCTTTATTTTAGGCACAGTCTCTTCCAGCAGCCCAACAGCAAGTCCAGCAGATGTCCTTATCCAAACATCGCCCCCACATAGGAGAGCCAGATCTGCTGCCTGGTCTTATCACTTCTATCCTGATGAAGCATGGGTTGATCTCACCATACAACTGCCATTTGCTGTATTACTGAGAGAAGTGCAAATTCAACCTCACGGTTCTTCTCTAGCAAGTATGTTCAGTTTTGTTGTTTGTTCAGTAATTTTCACCTCTTGCATGTCATATGCTTGAAATCTTGGTGTATGTAGGTTCCGTATATCGCTGTGTATCTGGAAAGTTGGATTAGAGGGGTTTGGGTTTGCCTTATGCAAGGGGTAGAAGGTTTCACAGTTTTTCCTAACTGTATCTCGTTGGGGCTCCACTGGGGATGTTAATCTGTGTCCAAAAACACTGAGGTTGTTTGACAGTAAAACTTTCCATTTCATCCAAAATAACTGTTCTGAGAACTATTTTGATATTGTATACAAATTCCTAGTTCATACTATACATTTTGTGTAAATAAAGTTTAAATGAGCCTTGTCTCGATCATGGTCATGCCAAGCCAGTTATAGTGAATGAAGTCCAGCGTAAGTTTATGGTTGAATCGCCACCATCTAGAGCCAGTGAATAGCGTGAGCAGAATCATCTAATTTTCTAATACATCTTCATGTAACAGATAATTTAACATAAATATTTCTTTTAAATTATCACTGCATTCCCATTGTTTCAATGCAAGCAATAATGAAAAGACATTTTCCTAATTTGAAATGGCCTTGATCAGTTGCCCATGTGACCTTACATGTGAAGTCCTACTGGTGAATATAAAGTCAGCTCCTTTGGTTTTTTGTCATCTGTTGGCAAGTAGTGGGAAGGTTTTGTATCAGAGACAGTTTAACAAACATCCTCAAAGTTACACAAAACTAAACCTAGTAATATAAAATATTGATAATTGTTGATATTATATTACAGGATATAGTGTTTCTATATGTCACTTTCTTCAGTGCTTAAAATGAAAGGATTGTGTAACTGTCACCATTGTGATGTCATCTCATTTGTTGATGCTAATTTAAAGCTCAAATTGAAATTGTTCTAAAATGTATTATTTAGGAGATAAACCTGTTCTGTTTTGAAATTTGCGATGGTTACACCTCCTCCTTTTTTATCCCCAGCCCCAAAAGGGAGGATTTAGAAATGGATGCTGTTTAGCTATCACAATTCGTTACAGACCAGGGGCTCCTTTCACGAAGCAACCTTTACTAAGATTAACCTTAACTCCCATTCTTTAACATTGCACTAAGGTTACCTTAGTGACTTACGATCTCCTTAGTGCTTTGTGAAAGGAGACCCAGATCTTCAAAATCATAAATATTTCTTCATAAACCTAGCAGAGGGATAAATTAAAATGCCACCGTTTGTCCAGGAGAAAATATGGCGTTATATCCAGGGTGGCATTATAACCAGGTAGGACAGTTAGCGGCTCTATGCAGTCAACAAGGTGATTGAACTGATGTCTCCTGTAATGAGCCTTGAATGCCTGGATAATCCCATTGTCTAGGGGCTACAGGTGGCTTATTGTAGGTGGCAGGAAGTGTATTGTCACATGTGTTATCCTATCTGGGATTACAGGACTACTTAAAGCATTAATGAGTTTGGTCAATTAATTTGATTCATGTCAATTAACCAATTATGGTATGTATACTTCGGTTCATGGCCGGGAAGGCTAAAATCGTGATGCTTCTCGGTTCAATGAGCGTAGCCTTCACAGTACTTGCAATGCAATGTTATGGCCTCACTCAGAGGCTCTGATAAATGGTAACCTCCCAAAACTTAGACACCCATATCTTAGACAACTTAAGACAACAACATTTCTGGTTGAGTGCACAACTAATCCCCAAGCTGATACCTATTTCTTACCATGGATCAGTCCAGTAGATTCAATAAGAAAGATTTTATCTTCAGCATTCAGTATATTTATTGAGTTCAAAATGCACAATAAATAAACAATAAAGATGGTACTATGTCAGTTTGGTAATCATACATTTTGACATCACCTTGTCAAGTGGCACAAGTGGAAGTGTGGCAGCTCTCCCGACCATCTTCATCACCTCAGGGTCAGAGGAATACTCCATGGCTAGGCCGACCTAGGTTCCCTCCGTCCTGTTTGGCAGCAAGCAGAATACTAGAGGAAACGTGTCCCTGAGCCTCAGCATGGAATGTGTAGATTTGGTCGAAGAGTTTACATGAAGAGGAGAACGTTCCATCGCCTTACACTACATCTGCGTCGCAAAAGAGTTCCATGTTCTGGCGGGTGGTGAAGACGAGGATCGGCTCACCCTCACTGACACTGTGCAGGAACTGCTGGCCTCCATCAGTCTGGGTCCACTCACCTTCCAGGGTGATGTCTTGGTGGGAAGCACTGGGATAGTCTTGTGACATTGCCGATACAGAATGGTCTTGAGAGAAGTGAAGGATGGAATCACCTGCAGAAGGCCTCCGGGGACTATGTTGTGTTGCTTCCTCAGGTTGGCAATCTCGTCATCGTAGATCTGGGTGATGGGGGTCACTTCGGTCTTGGCGCAATGTATTATTTTGGCCTTGAAAGCATCCACTTCGAAGATGAAGTTTGGATCCGGATGACTGTGGTTGTGCTCCGCTGTCTGAAGTCGGTCTCCGCTTGTCACGATACGGGCAGAACACCCAGCCTCTGTGCACTTCCAGTAACTTGTGTCTCCCTTCTGTCGGTTCAGGTGATACTTGTTCCTTACAAAATAAAGTGACCTTCCTCCACGAACAGATTTGTATTAGATATACCCACACTTTCCGAGGTGTGTCGCTCAATACCTCTACTGTTTGAGTCGTGTGGCCTCTGAGGCGGTAGCCGAGGAGACCACACGACTCAAACAGTAGGGGGTATTGAGCGATACACCGAGGAAGTGTGGGTACATCTGACTTATACCTCACTTCTGGTCGAGTTACAAGTTTACTATAACACTTTATATTCTAAGAATGACCAAAAAATGTATTTCTTTTACATCTGTTTCATTTATTTTTAGCCCACTGGTTAAGACCCTCAAATGGTCCGCGTCTATAGTCTGTTTGCAGTGAAAACGTACCGATCAATTTCACTTTAAACAAAAAAGTAATCAAATAAAGTGAAATTAAGATTGCGAATCTCATTATTTTACCTTGCCAAATGAACATCTCAGAATTATATTCAAATAAAATTTGTTTAACAAATGATCATAGTTTCAAATAAATATTATTGGTTTGTATTACAATTTTAAGGGGGTAAGCGCAGTAGTTGGAACATTGAAACAAATGCCTGTGCAGGACGTAATGAGCGTTAACTTCGACCAAACCTACATGTTCTGGGTGTTTCATTTAATGCGCATACCCCCTTGTAATACAAACCAATAACAGCGCTTTGAAACTATGATTGTTTGTTAAACAACTTTTATCCTCAGCTGAATATAATTCTGAAATTTAAATGTTCAATATGGGGATTTGCAATCTTAGTTTCACTTTATTTGATTTACTTTTTTTAAGTGATATTCATCGGTACGTTTTCACTGCAAACAGACTATAAGCAGTCGATTGCACGTGCATGCACGGGCTTGCACGATTTCACACGATTTTAAACACCAGTTTGGGCGCGAGAATGATTTCAAGTAGCCCCAAATATGCGCAATATTACTGATAATTGACATTTGTATGGGCAGACCAATGCGCATGCGTTCTCTGACTCGCATGTGGCATAGAAAACATTTGGAAGATCACACGTTCGTCGGCCATGGATGCTGAAGAGTGGACAGAGGATTTTCTTTCTCAAATTGACAGTTCGTTAGCGTCACATTTCGACCAGGATGATAAGGAAGATTTTGAAACAATCGAAATCTCCATTGAAATAAAATTATATTTCGCCGTTTGTTGTGTCTTTATTGCTTCGGTATACCTTAGTGAAAAAGTGTAGGTGTATCATTGATACACCTACACTTTTGACAGGTGTACCGGTCAATACACCTACACTTTTAACAAAGGAAACAATGGCAACGAGACCGGAAGTGGGGTATAAGATGATGTTAACTCTAACCTACGCATCTGCCATTACGAATATGTGAATGAGGGTTCGATATCAGTTTGCAAATGTTTTGAAAAGAAATTTATCTACTCCCGACATGGATTAAGCTTCCCAATAATTATTGTGCTCTAAAGTGTTTCTAATTAAATACATCTGAAATACAAACGCCACTTAAATAAAGTTCTAAACAAGTGAAGAAGATTATAACAATGTTTTGAAAAGAAATCTATCTACTCATGGATTATGCCTAGTGACTATTATTGTAATGTTTTTATAAGAAAATACATTTGAAATACAAACACCACTTAAATAAAGTTCTAAACAGGTGAAGGAGATAAACACTCTACTATAACAATGTTTTGGACAGAACTCTTACTCCCGACATGGATTATGCTTCCTGGCACTGTATCTCTAGCTTTGGCGGTACTTCCTAACTCCCTTGGAAATTAACTCTCCCGGGAAATCCGAAATATACATTTTAGCCTTCCCGGGACATTTGAAAAATATATTTACTACATGCAGCCAGTGCAATTGGCATTATAACCAGGCGGAAATGACTTTTTGTTCCAAAAACCATTGGCATATGGCATTAAGTAGTATACACAATGAGGCTACGGGACCAGGTACGCCCAAAGGACTCAATTTTATAATTGAGCCCTTGGGAAGTCCCTAATCCCGTAACCCCATTGTGTATACTACTACTGAGGTGCATGCAAAGTTTGATGAAAATCGGTCTAATAGTTTCTGAAATATTGACTTAAGTGAGCATGGGGTCGGTCGGGATAAGGCAAAATGTCCAACTTTTTGTCGTAATTAAGTCTTACTTAATCTAATGAAGTCATCAAGAGTGTTCCCAATGCCGTTTTGCTATAGCGTAACCATCTGCCCAGATGCATGCAAAATTTCACGAAAATCGGTCAAATAGTTCAGGAAATAATCACTTTTTAGTGAGCATGGGGTCGGTCTGGCAAAAGGCTAACAATCCAACGTATTGTTGTACTTGTTATATATTGTCGAGGCGAGAGGTGTTTTTAGCTGAATAAAACGCAGGTCTCGGCAGTCATCACCTTGCTACCGTCTCTGGGGTTGCTTCAAGCGAGCGCCGTGGACGAGTA